TAGGTAGTTATATTATTGCAACTTTGTTAAAATATCAAGGCTCAGTTAGGAATGGGATGTTGTTGCGATCCCTCCTCCTAGCTCAAGCAGAGATAGGGAGAGAGAACAAGCTCACATGATACCAAGATCTGCTGGGTCTGGGCGCTCTCCTTCGGCCTGGGGAAACTGGGGAGAGGGTGAGAGGATGCCAAAGCGGCTCCGCATTGCACGCCCTCGACTTCTCCTCGTGGATCAAAGGCTTTGACAGGCTGCAAGCAGCTTTTGACTCGATTTGTACCACGAGCCCCGGGCTACGCTACCTAGGCTACGCCTTGACCTTCGAGCCCGGTCATGCTATCATGCTAAAACCCCATATCAGACAAATGTCGTGTAAATTAGTCGTGCAATACAATATAATGCATGCGGTAGATATGGTTTAAGGTATGTACTATAGGTACCTAGGCGTGTTTGAGGTATGTATTGTACTACATGTAATACCTAATGTAAAGGCATTATGCAGGGTCCAAAACTTGAGAGACATTTTGGAGGCCTTGGCTGCGGAAAATCATTTTCTTCATGCGGACTGCGGGGAAGAGCATAGCATCATACACTAGCATAGCAGCATTCCAAGTTGCGCTTTGGCGCCCTGACAATCCGCGGTTGCGAAACACACACAGACCGAATTAGCCGCTAGCCGACGGCGGCCGTTGGCTGGCTATATTTCGGCTTCACGAGGTGTGTCTTCGAACAGGGTTTCCATGTGTGCTTAAAACGTTTGTTTAGTAGTTAAGCCTCAACCGGAATCCGGCTTTGGGAATACTACCATGCGTTGTATCCCGAAACGGGCTACCGGAATTATTATCAATCATGGGTTAGTAGTGGTAGGACTTTTTTTTTTTTGCGCTATGAGAGAGAGAGAGAGAGAGGAAGAGAAGCTCGGTCGGTCGTATGGCAAGTAAAGTCGAACCACGTGAAAATCCTAGATTTTTTTTTTTCTTTTACGAAGCGTCCATCGTGGAGACCTCCCCGTGGCCCGTGGTCATGCCTCGACCAAGCCTATAATGCCACGGCTCCACGGGAAGAAAAGAGAGGGGGAAAAATGGGAGCTACAAAGGTCATTGCGTACGTACATAACGTATGCCGTTACATGTAATGCAAAGCGGGTCACGCTGCTGAGCCGCAAGGCCAGAATTCGATTTGCATTGAATCGTGACCCTAAAGCCAAAGCTAATCGATACGAGATGGTTCGGTATACGACGGCATAATAGTGTATAATAGAAATGCACTGCCCAGGTACATTCATAATACGAGTTATGTGAGGCAGTTTATGAATAAAATAGTGGATAAAATGCAAAAAGTCTAGAAGACGATGATCAAAAGACACAGTATGGGCGCACATCCCATGGGTCTAGAATTCCTTATTGCTCCATTGATTGACCGTTGCCCAGTATCGCAGCGTTGCATTTTCAGGGTCCATCCCACATTTTCTGCGGCTCTGGATTCCGAATAGCCCCGAGTATTGTGGGTTAGAACAAGTGAGGGGGTCACGCGCGCAAAGCGTTCAAAACAGTTTGGTTAACTAACCGTTACTCTTCTTATACATAGAAAAGTCCTACACGAGATTGACGAGTGAATCTGTATGTAAGCGTGCATCGTGGCAGTTTATCACGACGATTTCAATAGGCTACTGGGGGGTTTCGTGATATGCTACTAATCAGTTTCGTATCATATGTTTACGAGTCAAGTAGCAATTAGTTTGTTTTGTTTTGTTTCATGATTAGTTATTCCCATCGAGACCTACATGTATTATACTCTAGGTACATACGTAGGTAAGTGTAAAATACCCAACCAATGTAAGGACGAAAACACATTGTACAATAACTAACAACATCTGAAGCGTATAAGTGGCGTATTGTTATTATCATCCCGTGCTTCTTAGCTCACCTTGGTTATTCACCGAGAAGGGCCGAGTTTCTGCCGTCCACTTTTTGCAATCGCGTCGGACTTGATAGGTTCTGATTTGCAGGCCGAACAACGACAAATGCCCATCGAGAACCCGAGCGAGACCTCTCTTCAGCTCGGGGCGCCCCTGAAATTTGCTGTACAATACATACGAATTGCGGGTACGTAGTTTCGGGCTGGCTGTCTGGACTCTGGCTGTCTGTCTGGGTAGGATCTAAAACCACTACTACATACTACCACGACGACCACCATGTACCCGTTCTCGTCACTTTGCCATTGCGCCATTGGGGCGATATGTTTTCCTTCCTCGGACGCGACAGCTTGTCAAATGTGAAATTTGAATCTCGAATCTACTGTAACATCACTCATCACTTCTCATATTTCCGTCCCCCCTTCGGGCTGATGCAGCAGGCGGGGCGGAGAATTACCCAGAACAGTAATTCCAGTGAGCAACGATATGCTCGTTCTATGGGTGATGTTAATTACCTGTAACCTAGCAGTTTGGTACCTGTTTGTATGATATCGACTGGGTCCACATGATAGAAATCCCTCTCCCTTGTCACGATCCAAACAAAAAGAAAAAAAAGAAAAAAAAAGAGGTTTGCGATATATGTATATTGTGTAATGCAAAGTAGGTTGGCGACGACGATGAATTCATCATCGACCCGAGGACTTGTCATCTGTGTACGCGGGAAGACAAACGCTGCGGCTGATAAAATCGAGACAGAAGATCGTGGGGACGGCATTAGATGAACCCTGGTCGTGCGTTACTATGGTCTGGCACACGCCAATGGTTCTTCGAGATGCTGTAGAGGGCGACGCCAAAAGCAAGCACAGAGTCCCGGGACAGCGTATTTGACTTACACTAGTTAATAATCAAAATATTTGCTAGAGAGATGTTTGGGTTGTTCAATCAGGCATGAATATATTCGATTTATTTTTTATTTTTTAATAATAATTATTATTGTTGTTATTTTATTTTTAATTCAATTACTGCAATTACTGACTCACAGCCACCTCACCAAAAAGCACAAATATCTGGAACTATCCGCCGGTACAACGGTTAGATCCCGCTGCGGCATTCCTCAGCCTATCGTGCATCCCTTTTTCGAGCCTCTGCCTCTCGCTTATCTCACGAGGCGTTCGCTTCCAAGTTTTATCGCATTGGAGATCGCGAAACCAGTATTCTCGGATCTGCCTTAGAACCATACGCATCGTTGGCGATCTTACTAAGTCTACCGTGATACATGCAGCCAGATGACCCAAGGTTTCTCGGGTCACCAATATCGGGTTGGGGGTAACAAGAAGTCCAGAACTCCTGAATTCCACTCGAGTGGACTCCGGGAATGTGGGAGTCGGCTCTTGAGAACAGCTAGGTATGATCTTCCCGTGTAGAAATGCACATCTGGTCCGATCCTAAGAGGCTGCGCATTGCACTGCAATCTATAAAGCTACTGTGTTCGTTCTGCTGGTGACTGGTATTTTAATGAATATCAAAAATAATGACGTATCGCAAACATGAAAAGTTAAAGGTGGCTGGCGGGGCTTCTTCCGCCTGGGCCATAATGAAGGTATTTCGGTGCCGGATCGTTGGGTGTCGTACATTAGTAACGTACGCGTATCTTGCGTATGTCTTACTGTCTGGGGGATTGCCTAACTACCTAAACTAACATAACTATCTCGTATATGTGAGGATTTGTTGTCCATGTCTTCCAGTGTTTGGTAACCTAACGCGCGCAAGACAATCTCTCGGGCCCACGAATGCCCAACGTCGCTCGAAGGGAGAGAGAGAGAGATTACGCATCAGAGCAGATACCCGAGGACCAAGGTTGAATGCTCCGGGGGGTAACTAAATCATATTATTTACTTAATTGATATAACTACCTAACTTATGAGGCAAGGCTCAGGGTTCGAGAGAGTAAGGCTGGTAAGGACGATAGATTTATTGGAGACGGCCGTGGAGTGTTTTCGTGTATTTTTTGTTTTTTTATTCAAGACACCCCGGAAAAGTTCCCCGAGTAAAATATAGGTACCGTAAGCCTTACTCTCTAAAATGATTGATCATTGTGGGGTACCTATGGGGGTTATGGGGTTATGGGCGTAGGCTGTTTGGCTGTGGCTGCTACTACTATGTATCATATTCCTTATGTAACCAGCTTTTTAGCACACACAATTGGCTGCCCCTGTTCTCCGTTTGCAACTCTAGGCGTCACGAGCTACTCACCTGACTTTCCATAGTACCAGCTAGACGGTAACTTGTCTGGGATTTTGCCCTCGTTTATTGATTATTGACCCCTCGTTGCAACGCCCCATTCACCACGTTTTGAGATTACCATTGTAATTCCCAATTACCAGTTTGCCAGTTTACCAGAAGCCGGCGTTGGATTCATTCAACTTTCGAAAATTCGCCGGGATCTTACTTACCTACGATGTAAGATAAGTTACGACGACGTAGTCACGTAAGGGATTACAAGTTGCATTAAATTGTTCTGACCAATTACCTTTTTTCTCGTCGGAACTAACACCTAAACGGCCATTAGTCTTAGGAGAACGAAAAGCATACTGTTATTGATCTAGTTACTTACAGGTACCTACCTAGAGGTAACTCGAACCTTCAAGATCTTATGGGAAATGCAGGTACATTATTTAGACGAATTCAAACGTTAGGGGGCAAACTGAGGTCCTTTTGCAAAAGTACCTAACCTAGCGTCGAGTTCACGTGTGAATACTAGTAATTGAGAACAGAACAGAAAAGACAAGAAAAGACAAGAAAAGAAAAGACGAGATATCGTACAATGTAGTATAGGTATACGAGAAACCAGTCGTCTCGCCGTTCTGCCAATAATGCTTCCGTATTCGGTCAGAAGCGTGCCGACGATGCTTACATAGTAACCTCGTGTACGGATCCGTAAGGGTATTGGATTTGCCAATTGCTCCCTTATCCCTTGTCGCAGCTCACAGCTCACAGCTCATCGCAACCCCAGTTCCGGGGAAGTGTGCCCGGCCAGGTTCAAGGGGCAGAGGGGTAAAGCAGATTGGGGGGCAATTGGTGGGAAGAGAAAAAAGAAAGTGGGGGAATATATTAAAAAAGAGAGAAGCCTTTTTAGGATTTCCCAAAAGTTGGAGTTATCGATTGTTACGATCTGATAGTCGATAGACGATTACTACCTAACCTTAGGACTAATATTATTAGTATTAGATTTTTTGGGGTAACCTAGACAGGTCTCGCTCATAAAATGACTTATGACGTGATGAGAACTTATATGGTGCGTTGCGGGGAGGGGATCTTTTTAGGACTTACAGCTAAATCAGGAAATTTGTGGATATTAAGAAGAGACATTGTTCAAGCAAATGACGATAGAAGCTTCTAGGTATTGTTTAGGGAAGCCCAGGTACTTGAGATATATAACATCAATTGACAGGTATATTAATTGATGTTGTTAGGTAAACACGTGAACCATGATGGCCCATAATGTATTGTACCTAAGGTAAGCTTCGGGGTTAAAATACTACGGTAATTTCAAATGTGCGCGCGTGGGGGAGGAGAAGGGGCGGTTTTGAATCCTTTGTTTGATTAGAAGCCAAGCCCTTAACCGTCCAAAGTGCATACCGGCTTCGCATATTCGTGTGTAAGTCTATACCGGCATTACGCAGATACTCGATGGTAGATTCATGCCCGTTCATGCAGCTGTGGTGTTTCGCTTCCTGCTTAGCCGACGATGTCAACATGACATATTTCTTGGCGGTGATGCATTGCATCGAGGAGACAAACAATCCAGCAAAAACAATTGGGGTGTATATCATATGTGTATTATAAGCGTACCTGTTGTAGGTGTACGAAGTATAGAGACTGGAGTATAGTTATTTGTTTATTATTTATTTATTTGTTTTAACTAACAGTACCTACCTACCTAGGTACCCGCAACCAGGTTTTCCCAACAGCTTTCCCAAAGCATTGGTTCGTCTCTGGAATCCTTATTGGGGTTGCTATCGCTCGTATCTTGCCCGATTTCGTAACTTGATGCCCAAATAGCGAATGAAGGCCAGCCTCTCAGATCAAATACCGCATGTCAAAACTGTAAGGGAGAGAATCCAGGGGTCTCATGTTTCCAGAAGAAAGGCACACCTCCAATCCAAGTCCATGTCCGTGGTCTCACGATCATTGTTTCTCCTTCTCTTCTAGTACAAGTTCTCAGGCTCGGTTCTCTCCCCATGATAAGAAGCTGGCCGGTAGTGCGCGAGTGGGACTAAAGCAGAGCCGTTTTGGAAATCCAGGGTTCCGTCAAAGAAACGTGAAAGAAATGGTGGTGCATGATAGGCACGCTTTTGGCGAATAGGCCTTCCCGCCTGCCCGATTTAATGTAGCGCGACCTGTGCCATCCCACGTCGGGGATGGGATATCTCGAGAAGTCCTACCTAAGTAGAATACCGGGACACCGCCGTGGTATCTTTTGCCATGCAAAGTTAGGTAGGTAGCAACCTGGACTGGCATCATTTCTTCTAGAATGCATCATGAATGCGCCAACGAACTTCTCAAACCTTGGTATCAAGAGATGATCTACTGCGTGATAGGGGGTGTCAAAGTTCGGTCACTGGTAAAATGTACAGTTACTTAATACGCTTGCAACCCCCACTTACACCATGGTGGTTTGGTTTGCTTGGCTGATCGGTTCGCCGCCGTGCCTGGCATTGAAGGTTAGGCCTAGTTGGGATGCCAATCACACATTACAATTATAACGCTGGAGTTACAGTGGAAGAACCAGTGGGAGAGGGAATGGCAGAGGGAATCACAAGCTCGGTATGAAAATTGACGAGGCTGTTGCCTATTGGAGAGGCTCTAGCAAATCCCGATCGTCCGACACCGGTGGCCATCAATGGCCATTTAAGAGCGATGTGATGATTTGAGATGATTTAAGCGCAGCGCAAGGTCAGATGATGGCTTTGACGTAACTTACAATGCCCTTATTACAATTACATAGTATATGACCATCCACGTCATGACACGATTGAAACCATGACCACGCCTTTTTATTCTGACCCTCAGAAATGCCTCTCCCTCGGAATTATGTGCCTTGTTGTCCTTGTTATGCTGAGCTTTATTATGCCTTGTCAACGTTGACGTCGACCGAAGACCTGCGCGTTAGTGACTTCGCGCGAATGGGTTTTGAGAATACCTAATAACATAAGTCACGGTACAGCTTTTTTCTTTGGCGCTCCTCGAGGGCGCGCAAATGTGACGGAATGTTAGTGTTAGTTGTGATAAGCGACGAATCTACCATGTCGGCGTAGGGATGCTTTGGCCGATTGGCGGGTATTACCTAGGTAGGTATTCGTTTGTTGGCGCTATGCTTGCGAGGCAATGCGCTTGGAAATGTAACGAATTGGTCACAGGCTACGTGATATTGATGCTCTGGAGGAGAGTAGATGTGATTATGGAACTTATCCTTGCTTAAAGACATTCCGTTTTATTTAAGATTTTCATCTCATATTCGTCTCATCAAGCAAATATCGTTAGAGATGAAAGTAAAGGTCGAAGAGGATTAAATCCTACCACCGGCGATCCTTCGGCCTTTTTTTTACTCACAACTTCAAAAGCCATAACAGGTACCTAACCTAACACCATATAACTAAGATAAGTATTAATCTGTTTCGAGCATCTAACTAATTAACTAGCTAGGTGATGAAAATCTCAACTGTGTTCCCTATAAGTAACATGTAAAGGCAAATACCTACAATTGCTATTGTAGATCGCGTGCTACCTCCCACTTACTGTACTACTACACAATTCCACAGGTAGCTTATCAGGATCTTTGTGTAAGGTGTTACTTCGTATTAGATCGTATTGTATCATCGGATACAGGGCTGTTGTGTTCTCTTATGCTCTCCATGGTAGATTCGTGATCCGAGCCAAGCTATACACCTGTGGGGGCGCCCGGGTTCCATTGGAATCATCGACTGTGGCTGAGAAGTTCAGCTGACTCACCGTCCATTGTTGAAGTTATGCGGAGGTCGATATGGCCGCCACAATATCTCCCCGTACTAGGCTATGTCCTCCGCAGCATCTGCCGTTTTGGTCCATTCTTGTGGCCGTAAGAAAGGTACTAAAAAATGACAACGCATACGTAGCTCACCGGTTTTGTTGATGGCACAAGACGACCTCAGTGTCTGCCTGATCAGGTTGGAGTACCTTCACGGCTGTACTCATGCGTATAGTCCTATACCTGCTACGCAAGAGAGAGAACGGGAAGAAAAAGAAGAGGTATAAGCTAGGCCTCATCTTGCACTTGTGTTATGTGTTGGCAACTTGATTTCTGGTAACGTGCCCGGAGGAGATTGTGTTGTCATTGTCATTGTCACTAAATCGTTCAAATGACTGGCCACGACAGTCCAAGTCTACCTAGATCAACAGCCGCACTCAAGCTTGTGGGTAGGTATGATGGGGGGAAAACGCGGGGGCGGTCCGTTGACTACAGGATAGGAGATAGGATAGCTCAGCGAAGTTTCAAATTAGAAGGGACAGTATCACGAGGGCATATTTGCAAGGCGGTTCTCAACATTCTAGCCGGATCTAGGCAAGAAAGAACCGTCGATCCAAGGAGCGGCCTTTCAGTCAGCACGTGCTTCTGTGTTAGCATCAGTGACTGGGTAATGCTTTAGCAGTCTAGTCGTCTATTTTGTGTCAATTTCTGTATCAATTTGATCCATTCGATCAGAGCCAACGTCGGCCGAATGAATTGGCCGTCATACATTCTGTAACCGATGCCGATTGCCCGACTTCGTAGACCCCTTGTGAGTTTGTGACCTCCAGCGGGCTTCAAAATTTGGCTGCTAATTAACGCAGCCAAGGATCACGATGCTTGAGATATTACCGTATTGAGCACAGGCAGCAAACGAGTGTCAAATACACCCAATTATCCAACCTGAGGTAGATACTAGTCACGATTGTCTCGTCTTTCGTCTGTGTATTCCTGTGTATTTGCGGGAATATTTATTCATTAATTGATGTAACGAATATTCTTAGCGCCGAGAGACCCTCTCTCATACATAGTACAGCAACTAGGGCTTCGTTTGCTCGCTTAGTTCAACAGCTGCAATGCAAATTTCTAATTACCATGCTCTATCCCACGCAGAAAATATGAATATGGGAATCAAGTAACCGGGTTTGACGCAGGAAGCTTGTCGTTAGTCGGCCACAGTTGTATTGACAGTGGTATTGCAGTGGTATTGACAGTAGTATTTCAGACACAAACACAATACACAAACATAATCCCGCAGACACCTTGTAAGCTTCTCACTTGCGTCTCATACTATGCGAGAAGGTGGTTTGAAAAATCAAGTCATCAGCGGTCATGCGTAGCTCACGATACACTGGTACTATTCTGTTCCAAACACCAATGCGTATTGGATGTTTTTAAAGGGCCTAATATTGATTGCTGAAAAACGGATGAGATGGTTTAAGGCGAATTATGATATTAGGATATGATACCAGTTAGACCTAGATCCGACATGTGTCAATTGTGCCGGTCGTGTCGATAGTAGACGATAGTAGACGATAGTGACGATAGTGACGATACAATCGTAGTAGGTAGTAACTTATGTTCACTTTGACCATTCACTATGTGCCATCTGCTGCTATCTGCCATTTCCCACTTTGCTGTAAGCTTGCACCCATTGGCCGGGTTCACAAATATTAGTGACCGCCTTGGATTATTTGGAAATGACCAGCCAAACTAATGGGTAACATGTGCCTGTCTTGGGAAATCTAGACAATGAAAAAAATAAATAAAAAATAAACCGCTTGCAGTCCCAGGCAAAAGTGTCTGCTGGTCAGTTGTACAATAAATACACTCACTACATAGTAGTACATATTAGGAAGAGCCTATTGACCGCGGGCGGGTTGCCGGGTAGGTACTCTAGAAGAAGGGGCCTTAAGTGCCTCATTAGGCATGTAATACTCATTTCGGTTTAGATGTTACACTAACATTCTAGCTAATCCTCAATAGGGCAGTATTTTAAGTGCACTAAAAGAGGACATTTCGGGGCGAGTCTGGCCGCTGTGACCCATCTATCGGAGAGAGAAGCGAAAGCCGGTACGTACTCCTGGGGGTACGTACCACAGTACTAAAAAATAGGTACCTCTGCGCGTGTTGTCAAGGGTTGCTACAGCCCCTGATCCCCTGATCCCAGTTCCGCCGCCACCACCCCCGGAGGACCCATAATGAAATAATAGAGTACTTCGGTACGTATTTACACTGGTACCTACTTTTTTTTTTTAAGAAGAGAAAAAAAAAACAGTACGTACCGGACCCAGCGAGGAGTGACCTTGCACACCGCGCCTTCTGCCCACCTATCCTGCCCACTCCACTCCCTCCTATCAAATACATATGTACAACACTATCCGCTTCTCTTCTTCCCTTCTTTATGAACTTACCATGAACAACCAAGAGTTAAAGAACTCTTAAGTGTTAATAACGTCGGCGGTCGTAGTATAACTCGACTAGCATTAATCGACAGCCATAAACGACCTTCCACTTGGACGAAGCATCTCATATCAAAAGCATAGTACCACTTTCGGCACTTTTATATCACCACTAACACCACTCATCTCATCCCTTCTCTCGCCGCCGTACTTCGAACGAACGCCCGAGAACATTCCCGCCAATATTAAGCATTCCACTTCCGGTGCCGATTATCTTGTTAATCAGCCTTTGGGGAAAGATTAAGGAACCGGGTTCTTGACCAATTCGACATTCGCGATCGCTTTCGCGAAAACCTCCTTCACCATATATCCACTACTCTCCCACAGTCTGCTCGAGCAGCCGAGCAGTCACTTAGACGGCATGCCTTGTAAACCTGAAGGGCTGGTCCTGACCGTGGACCCTAACGTCATCCACAAGGTTGACACCAACAACCCCCAGAATCTCTTTAGCATGTGGACTGGTAGGTCTTTGGTTTTTAATACATGGGGGTATGGATGTGGGTCTTCGCAATAGCTTCTAACGCAATATTTTAGTGTTCTCCAGATGCGCCGATTCAGTCGAGCAAGGTCGAAGATTAGAAAATCTTAGCTGGCGATTATGGAATAGGGAAACCTTCTGCTGCGAAGCCAAGGAATTATCTGCTACTTCCGCTACATCATTGCCCAAAGATATCCCCGTCCAACAACAAATATCAGATGTACCCCAACTATCAGGAAGCGTCGATTCCGTCGTCGACGAAGAAGCAATCGATTTCACAACCATCTCCGACCCCATGGAAATTGTCCGTCCTCGAATTGTTCGACAAGACTCTTGTGCTAGCAGCCGAAGCAGGGGCCGTGAGCGGCATATTACTTCGGACCACCTCGAGAAGATGGTGGTTTCTATCATCCAGGAGAAGGAGCCGAACCTGGCACCTCTGCCAGCGATGAGCTCTCCCTCGATCGAATCATCGTCAGATGCTTCCCAATCCTCCAGCTCAGAATCAGAACAGACCCCCGAAACAGAAACCAGCGAGTCTACCAGCGAGTCTACCAGCGAGCCAGCCAATGCGCCGCCCCCGTCGCACTCGAAACCCGCAGAAATTCCTGCCACTACAGTCATCCGAGGCTTCTCGCCGTCACAAGTACCATCATTCCGCGTATCCCACGAGCCTAAGTCAGCTGCACAGGACCCAATTCCCGAACCTCAGTCATCTCCCGCTCCCAAGCCGGTGCAGCTTAAGAAGCAGCCTGCGAAGTTCAAGCTTGGTGACTCCTCCAGCAATGAGTCCTCACCACAGAGTGTACAGCCTCGCAAGGCTCTACCACCACCTACTAAGAGGCCAATGTTTGAAGTTGGCGTTGGTTCATCTGGTGAAGATGAGAGCCCATCTCTTAAGAGCGCCGTGCACTCTTCTCGAGCGGGCTCTATGCTCAATTGCCAGAAGAAGCAGACCTCGTTCAACAACCAGGTCACAATGAGGACAATCCAGACACCTAGCGACCACTCCGACAGCTACATGGATGAAAGCGCCATTGATGATGACGAGGATGATTCTGAGTGGGAAGACTCTATCGAGGAGAGTGGCAAATCTAGCATTGATGATGCAGTCACATTCAAACGAGTCCCGTCGAAACCGAACCTTACCTCTCAAAGATCACTGATCAGCCTTATGTTCGCTGGACAAGAAGAACGAGCCAAGGGTCTCAGCAACTACGCGTCTCACTCGACGCCTGCCATTCCGCAACGCGCGCGAATGCTTCAAAACGCCTCGAACATGAACATGGTGTCTTCCCCTAACGATTCCGACAATGGACTCGAGATGCGAAGAGGTTTACGACCTACGCCATTGAAGCCTATTACCGAGGTCCCGAGAACAGGTGCTCAGCCCATCATGGTCAACCCCCAGACCCACCACTATCACCAGGCCGCGTTATCACCTAGGACCACCCGACGGAACATGCTAGCCACAGAATTGACCGAATCGCTTCGCCGTCAGCTTCTATGGGAACGACAACAAAAGTCGTCTACCGCCAATGCCGTCCTAAAAAGGCGGCATACCTCCCTTGATGTGGCCAACTTGAAGCAGTTTCCCGAGAAGGCCTATATGAACAAGAAGCGCCAAGAAGAGCCCAACTCCAGCAGCTGGAACCAATACTTTTCCCGCGAAGAATTCGGCGGCTACCACGCCCAGGGTTGGTAATCATTATCTCCCCTATCCTACGAAGCTCGACAGAATATACCCTCAATCGAGTTGCTGGCATGCACTCGACGGCAGATCCACAGGCTGCCTTGTACTATTTTATTTTTTCTTATTTTCATTTTTTTTCATGAAGCATTGCGAAACTGGTTGCTTTCTACGATACCGATTGCATTGCATGAGGCCCGGCGTTTAATGATGTTGTTTAATCACGAGGCGTACCATCGCCGATAATCACACACTGCATGGTTATCTAGTGGGTTGGTTTCGGACCAATCACGGTGTGGCCTCACCGTTACAGCGCATAGGCTGGTTGCTTTACGGTCCGCTTGAGACTTATCGTCGTGTCTATGGCACTCGCCTTTAGTTTTCATGTTTATTTGGCACTAATCGGCGTTGCTACCCGGATGATACCACGGTCCGCATTTGATTTCGCCCCAACGGAAGGGCTGCATTTGCTTTCTATTACTCATAGTGTGTATTTCAAGGAGAATTAGAGGGCGACCTCATGAAGAAGGGAATGATGATCCAAAAGCAGGGGAAAAGTAAGGAAGTTGTACTGTACCGCCCGTCGCGGCGAAAAATTGGGAGGGGGGTTTGCTAGCTGCTACAAAAATCAAAAGGTACTGAAGAGAAGCAACCTAGCGAGCTGGGACCCCAAAGGAGGATTAAAAAAAAAAGCATGCGCCATGACTACAAAAACAAAGTAAAATCTTGAAGGCCTACAAAATAAAAAGAATAAAAGTGTTCAAAATACCCACATTATCTTGTCTTCGTTTTCAAATTGCAATGATAGGTACTTACTTAATTCGCCTATTAAAATTGTGAAATGTTGTACCCAGTAAGAATATCATATGAAGATGAGAATGGATTAATATGACGTGACCGTTAGGAAAGCTTCGAGAAGTCTTGATGCTGTCGGGACGTACATAGTAGTGAACAGCGACTCGGTCAACACGTGAAGCAGAAAGTATCATTGGCTCCTTAATCGATGCAAACCTGTGGAGATGGGCAAGTTGGCATCCATCAATCTAGCTGACCAGGGACGAATTCTTGTTTATCCGTATGATTCAGGACTATGGATGAGTCGACGGGAGCTTTCCTTAAGTACTGCGAGATGGATACCTTAGGTTAGGTAGAGGTAGGTAGGTAAGTTATAAATAAATAACGTGCTATGAGAGAGAATATTGGGGGGACCTAACGGGTGATTACAGGTTGCGGTTGTATCCGTTATGTTGGGATGTCGTTTTTTTTAGGGGGCTACCTATTATTCGACTTTCTCACCTTTACTTGCTACTTAGGCGGTAAAACGAACCCCTCTTTCACAATTAGGGGTTGGTTTATGGGGAAGTTCTAGGAGCTCTGCCTCAACAACTAATCACCTAAACTACCTGGTATTACCTGGTAGGTAGTAAATAATTGGCAGCCTCGGAAGAACCGAACATGTTTTCTCAGAAGACCGACTAAAAAGACGAATCGGCGTGGATTGCGATATCTTCCTACGACATCAGGTAGATAGGCCCCCAGTCGTGCCCCGTCGTCGCTTGCGATTAACCTCTCTGCTATGTGCTATGTAGATGATGCCCTCACCTGTACGGTAGCGCAACTGCGCGAGGTGGTCATCCTGCAGTTGGGACCCTGGATCGACAAGCGGAGGATCAACGCTGCTGCTGAACTGCCCTCCGGGCCTCTGTTCCTAAAATATGGGTATAGAATTATATGGGTATGGGTATGGGTATTATTATCGACTGCCGCTGGCCTCTCGATAGCTTCCCAACTGCCAACCGCCTTGCCTTATCAGGGAACTCGTCCAAACCTTTCCGAAATGCTTCTGGGGCCCTTTTTTCTCCATTCTCCATTCTCCGTTCCCCCATGTCCCATCACCAAACTTTGCTCGCTCACTCGTTCACTCTATCCACTTTTGGCTTGTCATGAGAGTCACAGGAGCAATAATAGGAACAGCAAGCGTAAGGCTGTGTTGTACTGGACTGGGAAAAGACCGTAAGCAGAAAAAAAAAAGCACACGACGTTAATGAAGTTTCGTCGGAATTTGCAGGGCTGGAGAGAAAGAGGTACAATACGTAGTGCGTATCGTACGTGGATAGCCGTCAAAAGTGACCAGATAAGTAGGCCAATTATTTGGGGCTGCATCTCGGATGCGCAGCGAGGATATTCCCCTGTCTAGTCGGCCGCTTGTTACTGGAGGCATCGACTGCATCACTACCTAACTAAATATCGGTGAATTTTTCAGCTAAATCATTTTACTGCAAGGCTTTCGCGACGAAAAGGGCTCCTACATAAGTTTTCGTAGATTAGGTAGCTAACCTAGCTACAGGACAGGAGCTACGTAGATAGATTTCGGTCACTTGAGATCTCTGCGGGACCGTCGTATTGTATTGTATTGTACATAACATAACATTAGGTAGTCCGCAGCATGTTAGATCCAGCAGAAACTAAAAATCTCTCTAGCAGTCCGCCGTCACCTCAGACCGCCTAAACGCCCATACTATAAACCGTATAATACAACAAGTCGCTATTCGGCTCCATTTATATACAATAGCTACGTTACCTACATGGCTCAACTAAGATAATGGCCTATACTACATCTGTAACTCCGGAGTATTTATGGCGTTAAATGACGCTCCCGCGCATTATGCCATCTCCATACCATGTCCGTGCTATGCTGTCATATCCAATGTATTATACAATACAATACCCTAGCTACCTAAGCTAGGCAAAGCCTGCCTGCTTCCCAGTTAGGTACATATTACTCATGTATAAAAACCAAGGAACGACCCTGTAAACAAACGGAGTAATTGGGACGTTTGAGGTCTACCTATAGTACATGCTAAGCTAGAAGCGGGCCTCTACCTACCTATGCTCGATGAGAAGAAGTGGGAAAGAAAGAAAAATGATGATGATAATAATAATAATAATAATAACTAGCGCGCGCTTTTGGCGGTATAGGGAACGGTAACGGTAGGGCGGTGAGTTGGCCGTCAACACACCTCTGATAAAGTCACACTTGATGATGGGGGTGTTTCGGAATAGCCATGTGCCAGGACACGTTCCGGAAATCGAACAAGCATGAGAGCTGTCGAGCGGCAGCAGGATGAGGTAGTGTGCAGCAGCAGAAAATGATCAGTCAAGTCAGTATATATCATACCGCCTTGGTGGCTTGTCTATCTAGGGGTATAATGAATTTCTTTTAAGATCCTTATATGGAAGAATAAGAAGAAGGGTTGGTTAAGTCCGATAGAACGACGACGCTATCTTACCTAGGTATTGTACAAAAAGAAAAGACCTACATAATCAAACATACATTAGGTACTATGGTAGCATACCTACGTTGCCGTAACACCGCAGTATAACACCGCAGCAAGATAGGCTTTCTGTCAGACGGATATCGTAAAGTTGCAGGTTCATCGATAATATCGAAGCTCGAAAGCTTCTCAATATCGGATGCCAATAGGATGCACCCCGCGCGGGCGGTAAAGCGAAATGTGAGCAGAGCTATCTGGCAAAACGTGACTCTATTTGGTGGAAAATCAATCAACCTTTGCGGTGGTTATGGTTACAGACATGGTAGCTCTTGGTTTATTAGGAGGTACCTACATTTTAACCCGCTTCGCTACCTACCTGTCGTTGTTTATTCGAGCGTTACTGCAATATATCGTGAATATAAATTTAAATATTTACCTCTGTACGTTCGGTTAGGTACCTAACCTAATATACTAAAAATCATATATATTTTCTATAATATTTTATTTCCCTCTCAATTTTTTTATACTATCGAATTTTATCATTGGTCAAAAAGGAGGTCATAAGTCTCTCCGCGATTGAGTTGTTCCCCATTTCACGCCCCTTCACCCCACCATTCAATAATACATCACACAGCTACCTACCTACCACTACGTACCTAAGGTATATATTACTACTATTCCCGGCTGGGTAGAAAACCAAGTTAGGTAAAAATGGGAAATAGAAGTACCGTAGAAAGGGCAATTCTGTGTAAACGTATCTCAAGCAATGATGTATATGTTTATGTATGTTGTACGCTGCATATATTAGTCTTAGACATTTTCAGGACGACAACAAGCAATAACAACAACAAAAATACTAGGTAGCTAGCCCACAGCCCACTTTCATGCATGACACCTTTCACTGGCGATAGGGTTCGATAGGGCTTATCGAACCGTTTATCGATGGGGGGGAAAGGATGGAGGGGGGTCGCCAGCACGATGAGTTGGCCTACCACACCCTTTTTCTTAAGCAAGAACGTTCGTTTTCGCCCGCGCGCAAATCAGCGCTCCAGAACCGTTCGCTCACCGACTTTTCCAAGACCTGCAACAAAAAGCCCAAAGCAACGGCGCCTCCCCGCGCGCCTGGTATCAGATGCTCACTGCTGCTGCTGCAACCATTGATACAAGCTACCTGGAGATCGTGACTAGCTCTTTTAGCTTTCTCTGGTTCTCGACGTGCGTTTTGTCCCGTTACGGTATATTTTGCCTGTTTTCCATGACAAAGAGGGAATAGAATAGCAACAGCAACAGCAATAGCAACAACCACAACCACAACTTCACCAAGATTGAATCATTTTCGGGGAAAAGACCTTGCTACGATCCCGCATCACCTGGCTGGCTCTTTCCCCCTTCCCACGAGAAAAGAAGCCTCATCCACCAGCCATTCAGCAGGAAGCCTCCTCTCTCTCTCTTCTTGTTACAAGTTACATACAATACAAGCCAAGCTACACCCCCTCACTTTTCCCTTTTAGGTACTTCCTCTCAACCAAACCCCTCCCCACACGTTGAAAGAAAAGGCAAAAAAACGACCGGCGCTATCTTTCCTAGGACCCGCTCTCTGCTTGGTGTAAGTGCAAGTGCAAGTGCAAGCGCGAGGCTTTCTTCCCGTCTAGCATATGCCAGTCATTAAATCGTGGCGTTGTTTTTTACGTAGGGGATTGCCTAATGATATACATACCGTACCTTAGGTACCTACCTTACATACCTACCTACATAGCCGGGTAGCGGTAAGAGAGCCTTAGAGGTAGCTAAGTAAGTAGCAATATGATGAAATTTCTAATGTATAGATGGGCAAGGTAGGCATGTATAGTAACCTAAGCTCCGCGAACGCAGGTGATCGGAGAATATCCCGTGACAGAAGCCCAGGTAAGGCAAGGAAGGTAAGGGCAAGGCAGAAGGAGAGCAACGGCAGTGGTAGAATAGCAAACTTACAGGGGAATTACCATTGCCGTACGTACATACATACATTAGGTACATACGTACATATTAATGATACAGTAGCGCGGCGTCATGGCAGGCATGGCATGGCATGGCCGATGCGCGGGCAGCGAAAAGTATTTCAAACCAGGGCCAGTTAATACGAGTGGCAGTTGAGTGAGT